GCTACCAGAGCTCAAAAGAATATTGAAAGTGCCATGGATTGCCCAAAGTACAAACCAATCTGTGTTAGAAGAAGAACAGCCAGAATGCTCCTTGGAAGCCAAGATAGCTAGACTTTGCCTTTCATACTTTGGACATATTGTCTGGAGGGACGAGTCCCTGGAGAAGATTATCATATTTGGTAAAGTTGAGGGTCAGAGAAAAAGAGGAAGCCCCCCAACGCGATGGACTGAAATAATGGCAGCAGCAATGGGCATTGTGAGGTTGGTGAAGGACTAGGTAGTGTCTCATTCTGTTGTGTATAGTGATGCTATGAGTCAGTACCAGTTTGATGGTACCTAACAAGTATTCCCTTGTTCTGTTTGAAAGATGACCTCTTGGGTCAATTCACGTACAGGTTCCATATGTGCACATGAAGTGTTCTGGAATTCCTGTTTTCAATGTTATCCATAGTTTGTTATGATTCACACAGTCAAATGCCTTTGCATAGTCAATAAAAAAAATAAACATTTTTCTAGTTTTCTCTGTATTAGATCAAGAACCATCTGAAATCAGCAGTGATGTCCTTTGCTCTGTGTTCCCTTCTGAATCAACTGATTTTTGTATGTTGATCTTATATCCTGCCACTTTGCTGAATCTTCCAATGAGGTCTAGTAGCTTTTTTACTGAGTCTTTGGGGTGTTCTACGTATAGGATCATATTGTCTGCAAATGGAGTTCTACTTCTTTGCCAATTTGGATGCCTTTAATTTCCCTGTCTTGCTGCATAGCTCTTGCTAATACTTCCAGCACAATATTGAATAGGAGTGGTGACAAAGGACATCCTTGTCGGAATCTGTACACAGAGAGAAGGATTTCAGTTTCTCTCCATTGAGAGGAATGTAGGCTGTTGGTTTTGTATTGTTGTTGTTGTTATGTGCTGTGGAGTCAGTTCAGACTCATAGCAAGCCTACACAGGGTTTCTGAGGCTGTAAATCTTTATGGGAATAGACTGCCTCATCTTTCTCCCGCCGAACCGCTGGTAGTTACGAACTGCTCACCTTGAGGCTCACAGCCCGATTCGAAACCACTACACTACCAGAGCTCCTTTTGTATATACGCTCTTAATTATGGTGAGGAATTTCCCTTCAACTCCTACTTTGTTGAGTGTTTTTATCAAGAATGGATTTTGGATTTTGTCAAATGCCTTTTCTACATCAATCGATATGATCATGATCATGTGGTTCTTTTCTTTTTTCGTATTTATATGGTGGATTACATTGATCGTTTTTCTAATGTTGAACCATGCCTGCATTCCTGATGTGAATCCCACTTGATCATGATGTTTTATGTTTTTAATGTGCTGCTGGATTCTGTTGGCTAGGATTTTGTTGAGAATTTTTGTATCTATGTCTATAATTTTCTTTCTTAGTGACATCCTTCCCTGGTTGTGGTATGAGGGTTATACTTGCTTCATAAAGTGTATTAGGATGTTTTCCATCCTCCTCTATTATGGAATAATTTGAGTAGAATTGGTGACAGCTGTTCCCTGAATGTTTGGTAGAACTCACCAGTGAAGCCGTCTGGGCCTGGACTTTTTTTGGTTGGGAGTTTCTTGATGACCTGATCGATTTCTTCTTTTGTTATGGGTCTGTTCAGGTTTTCTACTTCACTGTGTGTAAGTTTAGGTAGGTCGTGTTTTTCTAAAAATGTATCCATCTCTTCTAAGTTTTCAAGTTTGTTGGGGTACAGTTCTTCATAGTATTCTGTTATTATCTTGATTTCCTTTTGTTCCGTTGTGACATTGCCCATGTGATTGTTCCCTTCTGAATCTGACTTGAATTTCTAGCAGCTCCCTACTGATATGCTGCTGCCGTCATCTTTGAATTGTCGTCAGCAGAGTTTTACTTGCTTGTGATATTAATGATATTGTTGGATAACTTCCATAGTCTCTTGGGTCACCTTTTTTTGGAATGGGCACAAACATGGATCTCTTCCAGTTGGTTGGCCAGGTCTGACTGGAGAGCGCTTTCAGCGCTGCATCAGTTTGTTGAACTATTTTAATTGGCATTCTGTCAGTTCCTCAAGTCTTTTTTCTCTAATGCCTTCAGTATAACTTTGAATTGTTTCTTCAATACCATCTTGATCAAACCATCCTTCTGGTACAGTGACTCTGTGTATTCTTTCCATCTTCTGTCCTGGTGTGGCACTGTGGGTTAATGTACCAGACTGCAAAGCTGTTTGAACTGCAAGGTCGGCAGTTCAAGCTCACCAGGCGTTCCTTGAGTCGGAACCGACTTGACTGCATTCACAACAACAAATATCATTCAGTGCTGTTCCACTTTTTGCCCATTTGTTATTGTTGTGAAATGCCGTTGAGTCAGTTCCCATCCATAGCAACCCTATATAGGGTTTCCAAGGAGTAACTGGTGAGCTTGAACCGCCGACCTTGCGGTTCAAACAGCTTTGCAGTCTGGCGCATTAATCCACAGCGCCACGCCAGGATCCCTTTGCCCATAGAATCCTTCAATATTGCAAGTTGAATCCTGAATTTTTTCTTCAGTTCTTTCAGCTTGAGAAATTCTGAAAGTGTTCTTCCCTTTTGTTTTCTAACTCCAAGTGTGGCAGGAGACAAGCTCATTTGGAGACTGAGAATACTAGCCACGTGTCTTGGCCAGCCACCACTGCACTGGGTACCGTGCGACTCAATCCCTTCTTCTCTTTGCCCGACCTTTGCTGGGTCCAGTATGTGCCTCTACCCTATTGACACTGTCCTAACCTAGCCACACCAGGCCTTGGCTGCAGCCTCAGAACCTGGCCACATGGGCACCTGAGGTGAATGGCTCTGACCCCAGCCAGGGGAGACCTCAAATGGGCCTGTTCCCTCTCCTGTGTAGGTGCCGTCTTTGGATCAGGAAGCCAAGGGGAGGGAGCCTCTGAGTCCGGCTGTCCTAGCCTGGGGCCATCTGTGCATCCCCCGAGAACCACAGACCCTATGTGGGGACAGGGTGCCACTTGGAACCTCAAGTCACCTCTGACTCTGCTGTGGCCTGCAGGCCTCCCCAGAAGCAGGGGATACTCCCCACCCACACTGTTCATCCTTACAGGTCTTCCACGTGGCTTATGTGCTCATCAAATTCGCTAACTCCCCTCGGCCGGACCTCTGGGTATTGGAACGATCCACGGACTTCGGCCAGACCTACCAGCCATGGCAGTACTTTGCCTGTGAGTCTCCTCGGGCCTTGGGGAGGGCGGCCTTGCTGGACTTTCTCCAGGTCTAGGGGGTCCAGTCTCTGCATCGCTTGGGCATTGGGTATAAGCCACAGAAGCTCAAAGCTGCTGAAGGCAGCTGGGAATCACTGGCTCACACCCTGATGTCGGGGCTGGAGAGCCAGAAACCTCTCCTGGCTCCTTGGGGACTGGCTTCATTCTGACAGCATCTCCCTGCCAGGAAAGGGCTGGTATTCTGGCACCAAACACCTGGCTGGCTCTGGTTGGGTGCTCGTCCAGACCGGTCTTGTTGGTGAGGATGGGAATGCCCCAGGTGGGCCTCGGTCATGTGCCTCATGGCCTGGAGGACAGTTAGAAAATGTCCCTCAAGGAGGGACAAAGATGACCTTTTCTGAAGCCTGTGCCCTCACCTTTCCCCCATCCTCCCCAGCCTCCAAGAGGGACTGCCTGGAGCGGTTCGGGCCGCGGACATTGGAACGTATTACACAAGACAACGACGTCATCTGTACCACTGAGTACTCGCGAATCGTGCCCCTGGAGAATGGCGAGGTGGGCCTGGGTGCCGCGGGTGGCACGTCTGGGCCAGGCTATGCCTGGCGTCTGAGCCCCAGCCTCACCCTGTTCATCTGTTGGCAGATTGTGGTATCTCTGGTCAATGGACGTCCGGGCGCCATGAACTTCTCCTATTCCCCGCTGCTCCGCAACTTCACCAAGGCCACCAACATTCGTCTGCGCTTCCTGCGGACCAACACACTGCTGGGCCACCTCATGGGCAAGGCCCTGCGGGACCCCACGGTCACCAGGCGGGTGAGCAGCTGCCCTGGGGGTGGCCTCCAGGGATGCAGGGTGGGTGGGCTGTGCCACGCCACTCACAGCGTGGTGTCTACAGTACTATTACAGCATCAAAGATATAAGTATCGGCGGCCGCTGCGTCTGCCATGGCCACGCAGATGCCTGTGACGCTAAAGACCCCATGGACCCATACCGGTGAGCTGCACCCCACCCCCTGGGCTGGGCCCACTGCCCACAGAGTTCTTTGCTCCCTGTGGACGTGTACTGACCACTCCCTTTGGGCCTCAATTTACCCTTATGAAGTGTGGTGGCGGGAGACAATATGCCCTGCATTCAGCAAAGGTGGACTCTCATCTGGCCCTGAGCCAACCAACCTGTCCTTCAGAGCTGGCACTCAGGTGATAGAGGAAGATATTTGGCAAGGTGGCCCCATGGCTGCACCTCCACATCCCCAGAGAGGGTGAGGGCTCTCTACCTGTCCAGTTCCCCGACCATCCCTCCAGTCACTGACCCTACACCCCCAAACCAAGACAGGGCCAAGTCCAGGGTGAGGGACAAACCTGGAGACCCCAGAAAGAGCCTGCCCCTGACTCACGGCCAGTTGCAACCAAAGGCTCTGACCTCTAGTTTTGGTGCTCCCCCAAACTCGGGGCTCACACAGCATGGCCAGTACCCAGCCCAGCATCATTGCACGGCATGTTCCCTGTGACCCACCCCAAGTTGCCACCAAGCTAGGACCTGGGAATCTGCATCCTGGCAGGCTGTCCTCAGATATTTCCCCCAACTGACTCAGTGCCCAGAGTTATACTGCGAACCTCACTGGGGTCACCAGTGAAACTGTCCCCCAAGGCTGGACATGCTCACCACTTGGCACCTGGCCAAGGTCCTTGGTCTCATTTGGCTGAGATGCTGAGGGCATTGCTGGTTCTGTGTTGGCGTCTGCTACTGTTGAAGTGGTCTGTCGACAGCTGTGTGTCGAGCCCCTGACATGGGCTGGGCTCTTTCCCTGGCAGTGGGCACACCAGACCGGACATCCCGCAGTGCCTGGAGCCCCTGTTCTGGAGAAGGCAGCAAGAGTCCATGGCAGGTTCTCTGAGGGTGACAAAGCTGGTATGGGGTAGACGAGGTGTGTGATGAGGTGCAGTCCCAAGGGAACCCACAGCCCAAAGTAGGGTGGTCCCAAACTGCAGTTGGATCTGGGGCATCTGTTGTGCGATGCCCCCCACAATTCATAAAGGAGATAGGAGTGTGCCTCATCCTCAGTGTGGGGCTGAGACAGGAGCCCAAACTCTTCAGACATGGCCAGTGGGTTGGAAGGGGGACAAGCAGTCATGCCAAGCTGGAGACATCAGGCAGCTTCTGGATGCTGTAGGTCCGGGGGAACTGTCCTGCCCTGGCCCAGCTTCAGCCTCAGTGTGGACCTCTGAATGCCCTTCCTACCAGCGAGCCTTCAGGCTGCTCAGCTCAAGCACAGCTAATTTGTCCTGGGAAATTAAGTGCCAAGTGGGAGCATAGCTTGAGGTGCTGGGAAGGGAGCCCACTGGGGCGGCCAAATTGGCCTCAGGAGAGGAGGGCTATGAGCCGAGCTGGGGCTTGTCCTCGCCTGCTGAGAGGCCCTGCTATAGCTCTGACTCACTTGCACCTGGGCATGCGCTGAGCTCAGCTCACCTGCAGGGCATGAGGGATGCGCAGGCTTGGCATCTTAGCCTGTATCACAAACACCAATAGAACCCCTGTCCCCAAGGCCTCATCACACACCAGCATCCTTCCATCTGCCACCTCTGCTGCTCCTCCAGGGGGCTGTGCTCCTCCAGCTGGTTAGTCACTTGTCCCTTTACCTCCACCACCGTCACACCAGAACACCCACCATCACATCACCATCACCACCATCACCACCACCGTCACACCACCACCATCACACCAGAACACCCACCATCACATCAC